AATCCAACCAATTCCTGCCCAAAACTCCTCCATTTCCATGGAATTACGAAATTCCTGCATCCAAAGAGGAATTTTCGCCGGAAAATCAAACAACTAAGAAATATAAAGACATTAAAAATTGAGGATTTGGGACAGCTGGACAAAATTCCCTTTGCATTTCCGTAGAAATCCACAGGAATTCCACAGATTTTCCCCAAATCCATCCATCCCTGTCTTTTTTCCCTCCCTCGGGGACGCGCATTCCGGATAAACGAGGGAGGAGCGGATCCATGGAATTCCCGGGAGCGGGAAAATCCCGGATTGACTCACCAGGACGGAGTAGATGTGGAGGCATCGATAGACCGGGGAGAAATCCACCAAATCCTGGGCTCCGGGCACCTGAAACAGGGAGAAAATCCATGGAAAACGTGGGAAACTCACCAAAATTCCACGGAAAAGGAAGTAGAACTCCAAGAAATTTAATTATGGGTAAATGGAGCAATAAAAAAACAAAGAAAAACGAGCAAAATCCTAAAAAAAATCACATTTTAATAGGTTTGTCGCTACAAAAAATCACATTTAGGTGAATGAAACTGCCCAAAAAAATTAAATTTTAGTGAGTGTAACTCCAGAAAAATCCCATCCAGGTTGGTTTAATCCATAAAGTTTCCATGGATAAATAAGGATGTCTCAAAAAAATGCGATTTCGGGAAGTGAAATCCGAAAAAAAATCAAATAAAAATGAATTCTCCTCTAAAAAAAATCACATTTAGGTAAATGAATCTATTACAAAATCATAGAAATTGCAGTTTTATTATAAATTATATAAAAATAATTTATCCAAATATTTTAGCAAGAATTCCATAGATCCAAAATGCCATTTTTAGGTGAGTTTAGCTCTCTAAAAAAATCAAATTTAAATAAATTCTACTCTAAAAAATGACTTTTAGGTGAACATAACTCTAAAAAAATTAAATTTAGGTGAATAAAATGATTAAAAAATCACACCTAAATCAGTGTAACTCCAAAAAAAAATCAGTTTTAGGTGAGTTTAGCTCTAAAAAATTCAAATTTAAATAAATTCCACTCTAAAAAATGACCTTTAGGTGAATGAATATGTAAAAAAATCACACCTAAATCAGTGTAATTCCAGAAAAAATCACATTTAGGTGAATATAACTCTTCGAAATTCAAATCTAACCAAATTCCACTCTAAAAAAATTACATTGAGGTGAATAAAACGATTAAAAAATCACACTTAAATCAGTGTAACTCCAAAAAAAATCACTTTTAGGTGAGAGTAACTAAAAAAATTCAAATTTAAATGAATTCCACTCTAAAAAATGACTTTTAGGTGAAGATAACTCTAAAAAAAATCACATTGAAATAAGTTTATCGCTCCAAAATATCATTTCTGGGAGAGGGCAGCAGGGTCAGGGCAAAGCCAAGATTCCAGGGATGGAAAAATCCATGTAATTCCCGGGATCTGCCCAAATATCCCAATCTTTCAGGGCTTAGAAGCAGGAAAATGTCCTTTAATGTCGGTTTTGCTCCACTGAAATCCCACGGAACGCTCCGACTCATTCCAAGCACAGAATCCAGCGGATCCTGGCACCATCCCTGCTGCTCCTTACGCAACAAAAAGTGGGGAAAAAAAGGCGAAAAACAGGGAAGAAACCCAGCTCATTCTTTGGACTTCACGTTGGATTTGGTTGAAAGCTCCATTTGGGTTTGATTTTTCCCGGTTTTTCCCCTCGGGAAGAGGCGCCAGGGAGGCTCCGACAGCGCCGGGAGCCACGCACGGGGATGGAAAAGGGAATTTGGGAAGGGTGGGATGGAGGAAGGAGAGATCAGAGGGGGAATTTGCATTTTGTGTCTTTGGAGATGTTCCCTTGGCACTCCTTGGCCCGGGCTGAAAGCTCCGGCACCCAAAATCCCGGGAAAAGGGAGTGTTCTGTTGCCATGGGGCAGGAGAAGGGGGCAGGGATGAAAGGCCCGATGGACAGCCCTTGGAATGTTTTGTTGTTTTCCCGGGATTTAATGAGGCTGGCAGGGAGGTGGGATGAAGAAAGGGGAGCTCGGGGCTCAGGGAGCATTTCCAACCCCAAAGTGCCCCGGGCAGGGTCCTGCAGGAGCGGGGATGGGCAGGGAAAAGCGGGATTTGGGGAGCAGGTCCTGGAAATGGAACTGGGAAAGGACGGCGGGAAAATCAGTCCTGGGGCTGCAGAGGGTCCAGGCTGGAGCGGGAACGAGGGATCCCAGGATCCCAGCCTGGTTTGGGATGGGGGATCCTGATGGAGGGAGCCTGAGGAGATCCAGGATGGGATTCCCACCGGGATCACCTCGAGATCCCAAAAATCTCCTCCCAAAAAAAGCCCAGGGGTGCAGGAGGGGGAAGGAGGAGGCTCAGGGGGATAAGGGCAGCAAAGGGAATGAATCCCTGGATGGATTTCAGCCGGCTCATCCCCATCCCTGGGATTCTCCTCCCTCTCTGGCACCGCTCCCCATTGCCAGGCAGGGCTGGATCACCGGGAGAGAGGAAGGATCCCCAGCAGGGGATGGGGCTGGACCCTTCCCATGTCCCCTTGGGCTGCTCAGCACATCCCACCTGAGGGCTGGGAGAGCTGGGAATGTTCCCCTGGAGAAGGGCAAAATGCAGGGAATGCTGAGAGTCCCTGCAGGGGCTCCAGGAGAGCTGGAGAGGGACTGGGGCCAAGGGCTGCAGGGACAGGAGCCAGGGAATGGCTTCCACTGGGAAAGGGGAGATTGGGCTGGGATCTTGGCAAGGAATTCCTGCCTGGGCTGCAATTCCCAGATTTCCCGTAGCTGCCCCTGGATCCCTGGGAATATTCTGGACACTGGGATTGGATCCCAATGGGATGGTGGGAGCTGTCCCTGCCCATGGATGGGGTGGGAATGGATGTGATTTAAGTTCCTTCCCAGCCAAAGAATTCCAGGATTCCCTGATCCCAGCTGAATCCAGGGCAAGGGCTCTGAACGAGGCTCACCCCTCTCACAACTTTTCCCTTTTCCCTTTCCCAGGGACACCTGCACACAAGGCCTCACTTCCACTGAGTCAATCCCGATTTTCACCCGTTTCATTCCCATTCCAACCCCCCCAGGACTTCCAAAATCCTGAAGCAGCTCCCAAATCCCCAGCCCAGCTCCTCAGGACTCCTCAGGCACGGCTTTTCCCTCCCTTTATTCCTCCAGGATTAGGAGCCATCAGTCCTAAAATTCCTTTTTGAATCGGTAAAGCATTAAACAGCGAAACGCTTCCGGCTCCAAAATCCCTGGAAAAACCCTTGGAGATGCCTGGAGCGAGGGCAGCTCCTGCCCAGAGCCCCCACCGGGGTTTTTAGGGAGGAGGGATCTCTCAGCCCTCCACACCCCCTTCCAAGCAAGGTTTTCCAGGGAATTCCAATCCGGGATCAAACGGTTTCGCTCCGCTCAGATCCGCCCTCCACGGAGAAATTGCTCTGATAAAGAATGAAAAAAAAAATCGGGATTTGGCCAAAACAATTTGACTCCCCCCAGAGAAATTCGATCAAAGCAACAATTTCAGGCTCTGAATTTCTGGAGGAACTTCCAAGCCCACACACAGGCTCGGGAAAAATCGGCTGGGCCATTCCACACAGCTCCCATCTCCAGGAGCAGCTGCAGAATTCCTGATCCAGGAGCAGCAGGATCAGGCAAGGAAAGTCAGCTCCTTTCCATAGGGAACTTTGTTGGAAATAAAGAGATGCCTGCAAAACTATGTTGGGGTTTTATGCAGGGGGTGAAGATACCATTAATTATTTTTTCTATTATTATTATTATTATTATTATTGTTGTTGTTTTGTTGTTGTTGTTGTTGTTGTTTTGTTGTTGTTATTAATAATAATAACAATAATAATAGTTCGTTTTTATAATAATATTATTCTAGTATATAATTAATATTATTATATTATGTAAGAAATATTATTTTGTAATTATTATGTAAGAAATATTATTTTATAGTCTGTTTTAAGAAAAAACAAACAAACAAAACAAGATCAGCTCTTCTGCATGTGCAGCTTTGTGAAAGAAGAAATATTAATTCAATTAGTCAAAATCTTCCCAGAATGTCTAATACAGGGCTTGGAATATACAGAATATATGGAATTCCATCCAGGAGGACGTGGAGCTGCTGGAGAGAGTCCAGAGGAGGCCCCGGAGCTGCTCCAGGGCTGGAGCCCCTCTGCTCTGGAGCCAGGCTGGGAGAGCTGGGAATGTTCCCCTGGAGAAGGGCAAAATGCAGGGAATGCTGAGAGTCCCTGCAGGGGCTCCAGGAGAGCTGGAGAGGGACTGGGGCCAAGGGCTGCAGGGACAGGAGCCAGGGAATGGCTTCCACTGGGAAAGGGGAGATTGGGCTGGGATCTTGGCAAGGAATTCCTGCCTGGGCTGCAATTCCCAGATTTGCTGGGGCTGCCCCTGGATCCCTGGGAATGCCCAAGGCCAGGTTGGACATTGGGATTGGATCCCAATGGGATGGTGGGAGCTGTCCCTGCCCATGGATGGGGTGGGAATGGATGGGATTTAAGTTCCCTTCCATCCCAAGCCATTCCATGACTCCATGAAATTCTCCCTCTGCCTGGATTCACACACAGCGCTCCTGCCCTGGCTGATATTCCCAAATCCAGCTCTCCATCCGACATTTCAATATTCAGACACATCTAAAAATCCACCTTTAGCTCCAAAAGAAGTTCCCGCATTCCCTGAGCCAGAGCGCTCCCAACAATCCATAAATCCCGGATTTTTGGGATGTGCCGATGCCAGGGGAGCTCGGGAGGGACGGCTCCCCTGACACCCCCTCCCGCCCAACCTCGCCTTTTCACCCCTCCTGATTTCCAGAACAAAGGTTTGATTCATCTCCTCCCAAAACTGCCCCGTGCACACAACATCCGGCTCCCAATCCCATTCCCAAATCCTGTGGCAGGCACGTTCCCGGAGCTGGGAACACCCAAACCCCTCCTGCAAGCGGGGTTGAACAATCCCTGCAGAACTTTTAACCCCTGGAAGACGAGTTTTCCATGGAAACGAGCAGCCCTGGCTGCCACCAGGGATATGAGGCTTCTTTTGGGATACCAGGGTTAATTTGGGATAAATTCGGGATACGAGGATTAATTTGGGATACGAGAGTTAATTTGGGATTAATTTGGGATACGAGAGTTAATTTGGGATTAATTTGGGATACGAGAGTTAATTTGGGATTAATTTGGGATACGAGGGTTAATTTGGGATACCAGAGTTAATTTGGGATAAATTTGGGATACAAGGGTTAATTTGGGATACGAGGATTAATTTGGGATATGAGAGTTAATTTGGGATTAATTTGGGATACGAGAGTTAATTTGGGATTAATTTGGGATACGAGGGTT